CGCCGTCAGCACAGAGATTCGACCAAGAAGACCGCCATGAATTGCATTGGCGTTGGGCCGGTGATAGCCATTGGTGGAGATAGAACTTGTGCCATCGGTAGGCTGAGACCTTTCTTTTGCTTTTCTATATGTAACTGTCTGTTGATTCCGACACGGTTTTACCGGAAAACGAACCAAAACAAGAAAATGAAATGAAGAAACGAACGAAAATAAGATATGGTGGGGTTGTTGTTTCCGTTGTAATGTTGTCTTAACTTGGCCTTTTCGTATCCGTTTTATAACAGTTTTCGAGTTGACATTATCTTATGTTCGATAAGCTGAAAAGTCATTTGATTTTAAAATATTGCTATTTGATGTTGAAGTTTTATCCTAATCCAAATATTTTGCCAGCAGAATAACACGTTGGACAGATTTTCATATTATTAAAGGGAAACTTATATGTTTTATCCAATACGCAAAGTCAACTTTATAATTCATCTGAGTATCTTAAGGGACAGATAATAAGATTGACTTATCAAACACCACTGAGGCTGATAGATAAGCAGATCATGGTTCGTTAAGATGTCGTCACACATTTTTATAATTTTATTTATATATGTTTCCCTCAGCAAATATAGGTTTATGTGGTAATTGAGTATAATAGTGTTAAGAAGATATGTAGAGTACTGGTATTTGTGCGCACCACGTGTTTTGCTGAGTCGGTGCTTACGGTACGTTGTGGACTTCACGTAGCCGACCAAAACCAATGGCTACAAATTTAAGACTCCCAAGAGTGGTTATATTCTTACTTTTACTTCGATCAAAGTTTTTCAATTAGATTATATTCCTACTTCCAAAACCCGTTTTCTGTATTTTAATTTGGATTTCGAGATGATTAATCTTGAGTGCAACATTATCATCTGGAACTCTATTCTGAAAATTGTGAGGATGGAGGTAAATACTCAATTAAATTTAGATCATTTGTGTAAAAGCAATAACATTCAAACAGATTAGACTACTGTTATTGATTTTACACAAATGATCTAAATTTATTATTGTAATTTATTCATTTTTAATGCATACAAATTTACAACTCTCAAAAAAAAAAAAAAAAATCCTATCTCAGAAATATATCCAGAAAAGGTTATGCTAAAATGCGAGCACGATGGATTTTTAATCCTCTTTGGTAAATTTTGTTTTAGTAGTATTGTATAAAGAAATGTATAAACTAATACAAAACCTGCTGTCAAAAAAGAAAGAAAAAGAACTAATGCCTATTAGAAAAGAAGATCGATGTGAAGACCACTTTAAGATATTACATTTGTTTGGATAATGTTTATCTTTGTGTATTACGTTAATAAATTAAAAATATTATCTGAAAAAAGAATTTCAAAATTCGTAATAGTTGCGAAAAAACAAATATGATGTGTAATGAAGAATGAGTAAGTTCCTTTATTGTTGGTCAAGAATGATATCCTCAAAGAGAGAAGGTCAATGAGTTGTTTAAGTCACGGCACAAAACACAATGATCTATTGATCTGTATCCGAGTCTGATAAGAGATTTCAATACATTGAACATTACATGACCTAAGAGTTGAGTACCAAATTAGTTTACATTTACATATGCATGAAAAGCTATTGTCTAACTAAAAGAAAAGGGTTGTATCATACAAATTATTCTGATGATATTTTTTACTTTGTGTGATGATAGCTGCTGATATCAGAAAAAAGATGGAGATGTTGATCCAATAGCCGTCAATTGTTAGGACTTAGGACCCGGTCAAAAAAAAAAAAAAAAAAAACTAGAACATGAGTATTGAGTAATAAATACATAAGCAATAAGGCAGCCAAAAAATCATCATAATTATCAATTATCACTAATTTCACATCTAACAAGAAAATATATACTAGTTTGAGATTCCTTATTGTTGTGCTAATCAGCTAATAATTAATAGCCCAATTGTTAATAGTATTTCACCATGCATGCACCACATGGTGTCAACAAAATGCCGAAAAGACTAATTACAAGTCTAATGGGCTTTTTACAAAAAATAAGTCTAATGGGCTCACAAACATACTGATAGCTTTATTATATAACTCGGAAATTAAAATTAGCTCACTCACTGGACGAAAGAGATGGAGACGAAGACAGAGAGACACTTTCTGGTTTGTGACCGCCGGTGGTGAAGTTTCTAGTGCGACGGAGAATTAGCGAGACCTATTCGGCAATTCGGATGATACATCATCTGGGGAATGCTATGTACTGAGAGAGAAGTGGTCGGAGGAACTCAAACTTAGTCCTCTTTTGCTTTCCATGTTTCAAATCGCTCATCTCGAATGATTAAATTTCTGTTTTCGGTTTTTAACATTAGGATCTAGATTGGAGTTTGTTATGAATTATCGCCGCTTGATTCTTCTGTCAATTCCTTAAAAATCTATTGCAAATTGGCTTAAATTATCCAGCAAGGGTTTTACTGTGAGTTCCCTCATTCTCTCAATTTATAAGTCTAGATTTCTTGTTGGATGAAGTGAGTTTCCAAGATATTTGATCAGATTAGGTCTTGAATCAGTAAACATGCATTTTTTACCTTCTTGAGTATGATCTAAGTGGGCTTATGCACATCAGTACATCACTCTGCATGTTGTTGAGGATTTCATCTTTATTGGAGTGTATAAATTGCAGATAATGATAAGGAAAGGAGGGGACAAACCAAATAGCTCCACTTCGTTGCTGGGACTGTTATAAATCACCATTCAAAAGCCTTGCTTACCCATTCCAGGTGTGCATTAGTTACTTCAATTTGCAACATTGTGGGAATATGACAAATTTTACAGGACATCTAGGTTTATCTAATAGTGGATTTTCCTCTATACCAATTTATACTGTGGCTTGCGATGGCATACTAAACAACAAATTGAAGTGGGGATAAGGTTATTTTATAACAAAATTGTTCTGAGTGTGTAAAACGAGATTTTGAGATGGATTCTTGCATAATTAAAAGTTGTTTCTTTCTGTGGTGTTTGCCTTAATCAGGATATAATGTGACATAAAGAATCCTCTCCCAGCTGGTACTCAAGATTTACTATCTTAAATCTGATTCAGATTCCATTCCTTCTCCGTAAGTCTCAATTTCGTTGTCTCAGTTGCCAAGTGTTTATAGTAGTTATCTCAAAGCTGCTGCTTGTCCGTGTCACTTACGAAATAGTTTTGGTTCTTTCTTTTTACGGGATATATGAATAGATAACCGAGCATTTCTCTATTCCGTGTGTTTCCTTACGTTTGGGCTAAAATCACCTTAAACGTCAGCTTGTGAACTTAGAAGCCATTTACTATTCTTTCCCCTTTCCAATGTGAGATAATTTAGTCACTTAGTTTTATTTAGACATTTTACTTCCAATGTGGGATCTTATCACAAGCATGTGTTACTTTTGATCACAGGGGAAAGAGGCAGGACATGAGCAAGTCAATCGACCACCACAGCCATGTAACGGCACCGTTTTTGGAGCTTGTAGCAGTCAACAGGTGAAAGAGACCAGAGAGGTATGTCTGTTAACAAAAGCATTGTTAATTTTTTTGTATTGTTTATGTCCTAAATCCAAATATGTGACCCCATTTTGGTCCTTCTTGGGTCGCACGTGGGTGTCCCAGTTAGCTACTCTTTTTACATCTGCACTGTTTTGGACCCATCTCTTGGCTCAATGTTATTTATTTATTTATTTATATTTTATTTTGCCCAATGTCATTATTATTCAGAACCAAAGATAAAATTTTTTAATAAAATGAAAAATTTCAAAGTGAAAAAGAAAAGAAAGTAAAGCAAAAGAGATGTTAAGTTATTGGTTCATTTTCCTTTTCGAAACAAGTTATTTTCACACAATCGTAACGTTTTCTTTTATCCTTTTACCTAGTTTTGCTTTCATTATGGTCTAGTCTTCTTAATCGATCATCAAATATATTATCCTAACTTTTTTTCTTGACTTTTGTATATGAGAATGAGTCATACACATGTACTAGGTAGAAAGAAAACACATTTGACATAAAAAAAATGAATAATGGACGTGAAAACTGAAAAGAAGAAGAATTGGGAACACTTATAGATAAATCAAACACTTGGCTACTATAAGAATCCTTGCCTCTATTTTTTCTGTGCCCTTTAATTAAAGAGTAACTAAATTCAAGAAGCTTGAAGGAAGAGAAGACATGCACTGCACAAAACGTAACTAATGCATTAAAAGAATCTGTGACTCTCTGATGTGTAAAGTTAGAAAAAGCATTATTTACCAGCAAAACAGTGTAACGGTAGTATTCGGTTTTTGGCAGTTCCTTAAGGGGCATTTCCGGTACCTAATTAAAATTCTAACGGTCCTTTTTCTCAATCTTTCACTATCTCATTCATACATATAAATGAATAATTTCCTTAGCCATCACCATCTCCACCACTACCAAAAAGCTCTCCTGTCTTTCAGCTGCAACTTCGAAAAAGAGAAGCTTTTTTCAC